AACAAATGCTCATTCATTTGTTTCATGTCTTATACATTCAATGCAATAATTATTGTATTAACTTTTGGAAAGTATTGTAATATTTATTTAAATCTTAAAAAGTTTATGAACAAGTATTTTAAGAAAATTTTTTATATGAAAAAGTACTTTAACAACAAATGTAACATTAATATTAATATATTTATGAGATATTTATACACTTTTTGACATTAACTTAATAAAATGGTTTTCATTAATTCATTCATGTTTATGATAATTAAGAAGTGAACTCAAAGTCCTTCAAAAGATTCAGTGCTAAGAAATCTAATTATTTCAAAGATTGAATACATTTAAATAATTAGATAAAATCTAATTACCTGTGGTTAACGATTTCATAAAAACTAATCAAAGAGTAAGTTGGAAACAAACATATTTTTATACAGTATAACGAATAAACTATACATTTTTGTATTTATTTAATGATAAAATGAATTCTTTTAAAAATTCTGCCAAAATCTTTGCTTTAAATTCGTTTAAATTATGTGTATATTAAAGATTGTTTGATGATATAATTATAATTACCGTAATACAGAATATATAACATATTCTTAAATTACCGGCATTTAAATATAGTTTAAAATGTAATATTTGTGAGCAATTAATAAGCAGAGACTGCCATAGAATTGGCCGATTCTTCATTGAGTTTATTGTTCAAAAAGGTTGAGTTGATGTGCGGACTGTTGTACTTCTTTTGCAAATCAGTGAACATTATGTTACATAAGGCGTCCAAATCGTATTTATGAGCCCAACCCCAGTCTCGGCGTGCATGCGAGTCATCCAATGACCTAGGCCAACTGTCAGCTGTAGTGCAAGTCTTTGTTTTAATATTATGGTAAATCACATTCATTTCAAAATAACATTTTAGGAAAATTAGAAAAATATATGTGTATTAAAAATTCTGTATACGTTTTGTTCGCATAGAGTATAAGGATATAAATTATTCTTGTTTATTACCGATAGCCTGTCTGTTATCCACTTTATAAGAGACTTTAAAGTCGGGGACATATCTCTTAATGGCATCAATGAGTTCTTTAGGAGTGAAACTAATGGCATTCACGTTATAAGTTCTTTGTGCCAACTTATCATCAGATGCTTCCATAATAGACATCAATGACTGCAAACAGTCGTCGATATACATCATCGGAAGTCTTGTGTCGGGTTTCAAATAGCACTCATATCTTCCAAATTTTAAGGCCTCGTGAAAGATGGAAACCGCGTAATCAGTGGTTCCGCCCCCGGGGTTAGTGTCGGAGGATATCACGCCAGGGAATCGCAGGCAACGGAAGTCTAACCCAAATTTTTGCCAATAATACTGTAATATGTTGTCAAATTGTAATTAGTTATTAAT